CACCCCAGTGCTATAATAACTTAACACATCCAGATCTAAGCCTTCATCACTTGATTCAGCAGACCCTCAAGTTCCCCCAAAAGTTTCCAGCCATGTCTGAGAAGCAGCCCTGGGGCATGGCAGGCGAGGAGCGAGTTGTTCTGGGCCCAGCTGCTTCGGGCCTGGCCTCTGTTGCTCTGTTCCGCTCCACAATCAGCTGCTTCGGGTCTGGCCTGCCCCTCCAGGCCTGGCTGCTGCTGCTCCGTGCCTGGCTGCTCCGGGCCAGGCCTCTCCCGGCCTGGCGCTCCGAACTTGGCTGCTGCTGCTCTGGGCCTGGCTGCTCCGGGCACGGCCATATGGAGTTACTTTAATATGGTCTTAAACTAATATTATTGGATGCCATCTAGTATTGTACAGATCAAGGCTAGTATAGTTATGATTCTAGATTAGTGTCTTATTATTTCATATCTTAGCAGAGTTAATTACAAAGTATAAGGAGGTAAATGCATTTCTTTAAAAACCTGTGGGTACCACACTTACGTTTGTATTTCAGAATTTGCTTTGACTTTGGAAAAATAATTGGTTTGAATTCTTTGGGACTGGTAGATTCAACTCTCTGCAACATGGATTCAGTAGAGATTACTCTGTAAACTTGGAGGAATTGTTTCGTATACTCATTCTCATATTTCCCCCCATTTTCAGGTTTATGCAAATGGCATCCGAAACATTGATCTTTACTATATCATTCGTAAACTGGCAGCGCCTGTGATTTCTGTGCTCTTGCTGTCCCTGTGTGTACCTTATATCATCGCATCTGGCATTGTTCCTTTACTAGGTGAGTAATGCTGGCTGGGGAACTTGAGAGAGTACCTTTACTTTATTTTATTTTAAAGATATTTTTATTGATTTCAGAGAGAAAGGGAGAGGGAGAGACATAGAAGCATCAATGATGAGAGAGAATCATTGATTGGCAGCCTGATGCATGCCCCCTACTGGGGTTTGAGCCTGCAACCTGGGGATATGGCCCTGACCAGGAATTGAACCGTGACCTTCTAGTTCATAGGTCTTCTACACTCAACCCCTGAGCCACTCAGGCTCAGCGAGAGAGCACCTTTATTAACATTGTGATATTATTGTTATTTCTGGTATCATAGGTTGGCTGGCCCCAAGTGCTTTATTTGTAAATATAAACCCAGCAAAAACAATGATTTCAAAAAACAATTTTCCTTAATTTGACTACTCAGAGCAAGATTAAGATGATCATAAAGCCTTTGGTACAGTTTTGTTTTTTTCTAGGCAGATGAGAAAGTATTGACATTTATACTTTCCCCAAAATAGGCAAGAACAGATTTCCTTCAAGTTGTCTTGTAACTAGAAGTGCTGTATCACATACTTATAAAATTAAGGATATGTTGTAATTAATTTTAAAATGTTCTTTAGCATAAAAGGAAAACCCAAGAGGAGTTGCTAATTTGTGACAATTTATCAGCTAGAAATGATCAGTTTTGTACTGAAGAACCCCCACAGGCACTTAAACCCAGCATGTGCTCAAAATTATAAGCACAAAGTTTCCCACTTTAAATATTTTTCTTATGAATTTACTCATATTGACTAGTGTTATCATCCATCAAGTTGCATGAGTCAGAAACCTTGAAGGGCATTCATGTTACCTAAGGCTCTCTGCTCTCCATACTCAAATGGTCTTCAGGTCCCACTAACCCGACATCTGAAACTCATTCTCTCATTTCTGGCACTCTTACTCATGGCTCGTTGAGCTGCATATCATCTCTCACCTTAACATCAACAGCCTCCTGTCTGGTTTCCCTGCTTTGACAACTAATTCGTTGTCTGCACTGTGGCCACAGTGACTTTTAAAAGGATGAGTCTCATTGTTTCTCTTCAATGAACATCCTTTCTTTGTTCCCTCTATGGCCTTTAGAACATAATCCAGCTCCTAGGCTTACTTCAAAGGCTCCTCCTGGTGACCCAGTTTGACCTCACTTGTTGACTCACTTCATTTTAAAAAATATATATATATTATTGATTTTTTACAGAGAGGAAGGGAGAGTGATAGAGAGCTAGAAACATCGATCAGCTGCCTCCTACACCCACCACTGGGGATGTGCCTGCAACCAAGTGCCCTTGACCAGAATTGAACCTGGGACCTTTTATTCCATAGACCAATACTCTATCCACTGAGACAAACCGGTTTCGGCGTGATTCACTTCATTTTATATGCAACAGGTTCTAATTAAGCATCACCGACCAGTTCCTTCTTCGTGAAAGAACATATTTGTATTTCACTGTCATTCCATTTACACTGAGAGTTCTCCTTTTTTTGGTTTACAGGTGTTACTGCGGAAATGCAAAACTTGGTCCACCGGCGGATTTATCCATTCTTACTGATGGTTGTGGTATTGATGGGGATCTTGTCATTCCAGGTCCGCCAGTTTAAGCGCCTTTATGAACATATTAAAAATGACAAGTAAGTCTGGACTTCCATAATTTAGCCACTCATATTAAGATTTCTCACTTGTTAATGTTTGTATTTAATGTGATGAATCACAGAAGGGAAAATTGCTCAGATTCTGAATGTATTTTGAGGAAGAATTAATAGGACTTGGTAACAGATTTTCAACTGGTGTGCTGCAGGAATTTTTAAAACATATAATACCTGACTATTTAGTCAGGGGCACTAACCTCTTTATTCTTACGTTGTCAAATAAAATAAAAAAAGACAACAGCCAACACACTAATAACATTTGGTGTGAATGAATAAAAATTAAATCTATTATTCTGTCAAATCTGCAAAAATTATATCTTTTTTTGGTGTGCCACAGAATTTTAGTAATTTATGTGTGCTATGAGATGAAAAAGGTTGAAAATTGCTGATATACATGAAAAGTGAAAAGACTGGGAGAAAATGGTTTGAGGAGGAAGATTTTCTTAATGTTCATTTCAGAGGTTTCAGATAATTTGATTTGACAAGATATAAAATAGTTTAAGATGTAAAGAAACGTATGTTAAGAATTTGCAGTACCTGTCTAAGCCTTTTTTGCAATCAAGGGCTATTAGGTTACTCTGACCACTGCTGAGGGAGGCTGCAAGGTTACTGCAAATGTGTCAAGCCTCTTTTGAGAAAACTCTGTGACCTTACTTCACTGAGAGATTGAGAACAGCTCAGGATAGCAGCCATTTGACCTTCCATGTCCTCACAGAAGGCTGAGTCTTGCTCTGATTCAGTGTTGCCTAGCAAAAATAAAAGTGAGTTTATAGCTATCCGTCCTGGTTTGCCTGGGAGAGTCCCAGTTTACACATGCTGCTTTCATGTCATCATTAACAGAACCTTCGGTTTGGACAGCAAATTATATGCTCACCTTATTACACTGAGGACTCCTAGGAGTATTATTTTTTAACTTTAGAATGTTCAAGGCTTCTCCAAAGCCTATACTGATAGTGGAAAACACAAGTGCCTTTTTAGGTAATCGGAGTACAAAGTCTTTCAGACATGAAAGAAGGGGAAGGAGGTTTCAGTGATGAGAGTCTGCTTTCTCACTTCACAGAGTGAGAGTATGTTTTGGCAAGGTCTTACTGGGCATTCCTTGATCTGCCATCGATGCTTCCAAATGGTACTTACACACTTGTACCCTGCCCCTCTAGCTTGTTGCCTTTCAGTTTTGTCACAGGCTTCCAGGGGTCAAGCTCAAGGTTATTCCCTCAAGTTTAGTGAAGCACATGACTGCTGCTTTTTAGCAACCCCGGCTGATGTCATGGGCTGTAATGTTCTGGTGGAGGACCTCCAGCCTTGCCATTTCAACCACAGTTACTTCTGTCTGTATCTGTTGTCCTGCACTCTTGGCCATAACCTTCCTGTCAACATGTCATATGAATTAGGAAAACTTTCATATTCTGCTCTTGAACCATTACCCCCTCCACCCCACACACACACACCTGTCACTCGCATACACTCCTCTATCATCTCTCATTTGATATCATTGACATCATTGTCCTTTGATATCTCCTTTTCTCTAGAGCTAGAGCTGTACAGGTTCTACTAAAAAGGTTAGGGTAAGTCCTCCCTACCCAGCTTTTTGACTGTTGTATTTTCAGTTCGTTTCTTCAGATCTGCCCACTAAGCTGCTTCATAAAATACGGTCCATACAGATAAATTCCTGCGAAGGTTTCTTCGGCCTTATCCTCCTCGGGCCTCTGAGTGTATGAGTTCACGAGAAGCCCTAACTACAGACTGGGGCATGTGCCCCATTGTCCACACTGAGGCCTCTGACCTGTGCCGCTCAGGTCTTTGCTGCAGGAAGACCAACGGAAGGTCTTCCACCCCTCACTATAAGGCACCTGCCTTTGTGCCTTCGGCAGATGTTCATTCTGGACTTCCTTCTACCTATCTAACCATGAAAGTAGGAGTGAAGTGATCTGATTTTCATTTTTATAAAAGATCTCTGACTGCTTTTTGGAAGTATATTTCAATATGTAGGACCATATAAGAGAGTAACTACCTTGTTTTTACATCCTAGGTACCTTGTGGGCCAGCGCCTTGTGAACTACGAACGGAAATCTGGCAAACAAGGCACATCTTCGCCACCTCCACAGTCGTCCCAAGAATAAAGTGGTTGTCTCAACTACCTTGACCTTCCCCTTGCCTTTACGTGTCCTTTTCTGTGGACTTCTCTCTTTGGAGATTTTCTCCAGTGATCTCTCAGCATTTTTTTTTTTTAAGTTAAATGTATTTGACTTGTGTTCTCAGCATTTGGAGAGAGCAGCAACAGCTTAAGTTGCTGCCTTCCTGCATCTTCTGACATCACTGCTGTCTGAGATCTGTACATGTGTAAATAGAAGTTCCTGGATACCCTAAAACCTTGGATTAAACAGAATGTGCATTGTACATCTTTAAACAAATGTATATTAATTTATTAAATCTAGTTGTCACTTTATTTTGGACCTGCTGTGATCTTGACAGGAAACGTGCCACAGAGCCACAGTGCAGAGGGGAGACTTCCTGATGGCGTCCCTGGAGCACAGTGTCATGGTGCTCCTAGCAGTTCTTATTAAGTGAGCTGTACATTCTGTCTGTCGTGGCTGTTGAGACCTTACCAAGAACGTAAAGGAAACAGAAATCAGCAGTGGAGTATCTGTGGTAAGAAAACATGAACTTTGTGCTTCACTGTCAATCGTTTTTGGAAGTTATTTTGTATAACACCAAAGCTGTTGTACATTTTCTACTGCCTGATTTTTTTTTTCATGTGTCTGTGTTTGTAATATTGTATAGTATCTTGTGCTAGTTGAAATTATTTTTAATTTTGATAATTTAATATTCCTAGTGATTAGCATTGGGAGTTGGGTTTTTGTGCTTGTTAGGGGCATGCCTATACTTAGAGGGGGGGAAAAGTCCAAAAGAAGATTTTCATTAGTCTCCTCATCCTCCTTTTCCCACACAGCTATCCTTTTTTCCATTTAGGCAGCAGTAGCCAGTAGTCATGCAAGATCATAAGTCTTACAGAATATTGTCACCAATGACACTGCTTCTTACTGGAGTTGGGACAGATTGAGGTGTTCCTTAAATGTAGATATGGTATGTGGTCTGAGATGGACAGCATTAGGAAAAACTGGTTAGAACATAGTCCTAGGTAGTGCATCATTGGGTGAGGATTAGGGAGTACACTTCTCCTAGTTTTCCATGAATAAATCCCAAAGTTTATAAAAATTTTTATTTACAGAATAAAACTACAAACAAAATGGATTTTATTTGTCCAGAAGGAATCTGGTTGAGTTGGCAGTTTAATAGAGGAGTGCAGAATGTATCTCAGTGGAAATGAGCTGTAAAATCTCAGAGAACTGAACATATAAACTTGGTTTTTCCCTTATAACCAAAGCTGCAAGTATTGATAGAAGTTTAGAGAAATAAAAGTTAGGCACATGATCCAAGTATTTAATGGTCATGGTTTAATGTAAGGGTAGTGTTTGGTTTTGAATGATAACCTAAAAGTTCTCAGAGAAAATGAACAGCATAGGTCTTCAGAAACCATATAAGAATTTCCATATAGTATTAAAGCCCATAACTCAAATCTGAAGATTTTTTAAAATATGAAAGCCACATAAACTACCAAAATAAAAAGCAAATGTTCTGGTTTTATAATTAAACAATTTTCCCCAAAGTGGTAAGCAATTACTTAACTCTATTTTAAAACATCAGTGTATATATATATATATATATATATATATATATATATATATATATAGCTTACCATAGGATTCAGTGTTATACTTTTTAGTACTTTGCAGTAGGCTTTTCTTTAGTATTCAAAATAAGGTATTTGCGAGCCCCGCCTTCACTTAGAAATTTAGTTCTACTGTAAAAAATGAGCATTTTAAAACATATTGCCACCTGTCATGATATATGTCCATACAAATAGAAAAACTATCAAATTTGACATATAACTTGATTATATTAAGTTTCTTTTGAAATTTTCAGAGAATTTGTAGATGTTGACATAAAGTCATTAGAACATATTTATTTGTTTTACCAGGAAGATATAAGGCAGATACCGCAAAAGATTAAAAATGGTTATTCTACAACATTTTAAATAAATCTTATCAGATATTTTGTAATATATATATATAAATATATATATATATATGAATGGCCAAAAAGTTGCCCTCTATTACACTTGCAATAACTTGTCTTCTGTAATGATTTTGCCCCAATTTTCCAGTTGTGCTTTTTTCTGTTTTCAAAAAGATGAATACTTTCCTAAGGAAAGCATCTGCTGGTTACTATTTACATGGATAGCATCAAGATTTTCTTAGCCAGTTGTCTTACAAATATTTAACTAGTTCAGAAAGTGCTAGTATTGCTGCCCTTCATGTAGAATTTATTTTTAATAATAGTGTAGTTTTACTTCATTTTACATTGGGTTTAAACAGTCTTCAAGAGAGTTAATTAGGAGAAAGAACTTTTTTGCTTTACTTTTACTATTTTAGAAATTGAAGACAGATCAACATTTAGGATTAGTTTTACATGACCAGTTACCAAATGGCCATAGTATCAGGTGTGCAGTTGTTCATTATTAGCAAATTATGTTTGATTTTTAAACTTAATACTAAGTACTAAAAGTTGAGATGAAAACTGAAGAAAAATGCCAATGTGAAGTTTGTATGACAAGCTTTAAAAAAGCTAAATGTTTTTAGGTGTTCTTTTCCTAGTAGTTTTTTGGAGAAACAGTAGAGATTAGCCATCTCAATTCCAGATGTAAACAAAAGTAGTTTTTATTTCAACATTTAATATAACTGTTATTACTATGGATTTTTTGCCTTGGTGTTTTTTCCCTTTTTCCTTATTCAAGTAACAGAAAGTAAATTTTTCTCAAATGATTTCATCTTAGATATGTAATATCTGTATTGGCAAAATGCTGTCATTAAAGTCTAATTCTTGAATTTAGGATGAATTGATGACTTTTTAAAACAATGCAAAGCAGCACTGGACATTTCTACATTGTATTGCGTTTACACACACACACACACACACACACACACACACACACAATAGTGCCAGTATAGAACACTGGCACAATTGTTACAAGTTAGCTTCTTATTCTCATGTTCAGAATTATTTTAAACTTTTTATTTTCTGTGATAGATTTTTTTACATTATAAAATTATTGTGTTTAAAATACTCCTTTAGAATGGTATCTAATGAGTCACAATTAAAAAAAGACTAAAGTGAAATGCCTTACCACTAAAGTATTATTAAAGCCTCATTTGTGGAGATTCTCTGATTTGTTGGAGCTGTCTTGGATCTTTTTATTTAATTTGCTCCCTCAAGCAGATGTTTTCCCTTCACTCTTATTTACTGCCCTATGTCTTTTTTTTTTTTTTTTTTTTTAAACAGCCAGGATGAGCAAGGGCTACTTTCAAATAAAACGATTAATACAGCATGAAAATAGAAAGTATATATCTTTTCATTTCTACCTGTTTTATGAGTGCCTCATTTTTTAGTCATGGAAGTAATATAGAAGCTTCGATGAATATGTAGTGACTGTAAAGCCTGGGCATGACTGCTATAGAAGCTAAGTAGAACACTTTGTTATTTGGGATACCAATTTTCTATTAAAGCAAACATCTTAGATACCCAGACCAATTTTATGTATATATTCTGAAATGTTCCCCTTTTTTATGTGGTCATTTGTTGTCTTCTGAGTTGAGAGAACAAGATTGAATAAAGTGAACGTTAGTTGTAGTCGAGTATTTTTTTTTCCTTGTTGGTTTTTGCTTTATTGCAAGATTGCTTGAGAGTTACAGAAGTGTGTATTATTAGCATAAGTTGATAATCCAGATACATTTAACATAATTATGAAAGTAAAATAATTCAAATTACATGTCATGATAAGCCCCTCTGTTCTAAGTATTAATTTAAAATAATAGTGGCAGAGGACACACCCCTCCTCTCTTCTCCCCCTCACTGTAATAGACTCTCTCCACCAGAAAGAGCAAAGACAGGCCCTAATCTGTGCCACCCACCTCTTTGCCTCAGCTACAAGGTCTGAACAGAGCTGCACCAGGTTGCCTATTTTAGGTATCTGCTTGGCTAGAGCAAAACCAATCAAACCCATTTTATGTAATTGACCATAAGTCTCAGAAAAAAAGGAAAGGGTTCCATGAGGTTTTTCCCCTTCTCACTGTGCTGTATGAAGAGATCTTTCTAATTTTTGTTTCTAGGTTAAGTTTTTTTCCATGTTTTGTTTTGTTTTTTTTTTTCCTTTAAATTTACTGGAGCGACATTGGCTAACAAAATTTTACAGCTTTCAGGTGCACAATTCTACAGCACATAATCTGTACACTATTGTGTGTTCACTCCAAGTCAAGTCTCCGTCCACTACCATTTATCCCCCCTATGATTTTTTTAATCAAGTGCATTTTTTTTTTTAATGTAGTAGTGGTAAAATTGAATTTTAATTCTGTGAAGTTGATTTTTTACAGCAAAGGAAATTGCATGATGAATCTCATAAGTGGCCATTAACCTCCCCCTTCCACCCTATAGTTTGCAGCCCTTCTTGATGCAAACATAGAATCCATACCACACGTGGATTAGGGATCTGAGAAGGTAACCTCCCCTCCTAGCCCCAGCCCCCACGAACACATGTATTTCTGGTGTCTGTTTTGTTTCCTTGCACTGTACTCAACACTATAGTTGAATGAGGCATTGGGTCTGCCTTCAAGAAGTCCAGTTAGCGTGCAAAAGAACAGAAAAAGGAGCAAAAGATTCTATTACAGATAGGCATAAGATGCCACAAGGAACAGATAAAGGATCTACCTGGGTGGAGTCTGTGTTGGTATGCTCTTAGTTACTATTTGGTATATATAGGCGCCCTTCCCCCACACCGTCACAATTCCTGTCAACCTCCTGCAGTTTACTTCCACTCAGTCCCACACGTCACTAAAACCATATGTCAAGAGCCAGTAACCTGGGTGGGGTCCCTTTTGGCACTTTATTTAATCATCTTGAAATTTTATTTTACATAGGTAATAGTGTTGTGTCTTTCTGCTGCTTGCTCGCTCGCTCAGTAACTTCTGTGGGACAAAAAGGTTTATGCCAAAAGCCCATTCGTTCACTTCCTTGTTTTTTGCCCAAATGGATGAACCCCTTTTGCTGGCTGCACGAATCCATTGGTCTGACAGAGCACAATAGAGTCAGTATAGAAATAAACCCATATGTATATGGACAGCTGATTTTTGTCAGAGGTACAAAAGTTGAACAAGCAGTGTTGGAATAATTAGACATCCAGATGCAAAATTAAAAATAGATCTTTATCAACATAAAGTTAACTCAAAATGAATTATAGCCCTAAGTATAAAACTCCAAACTATAACTTCTGGAAGAAAACAAAGGAAAAATGTTTAGCCTGGGGTTAATCACAGATTTTGATACAACCCATAGAAGAAGAATTAGATGACTTGGACTTGATCAAAATGGAAAATACCTGCCCTTTGAAGTATACTGTTTAGAGAACAAAATGAGAAGTCATATCGTGGCAGAAAAAAATTGCCAAACATTTCTGATAAAGTACATGCATTCAGCCCTAGCTGGTTTTGCTCAGTGGACAGAGTTTGTGCCTGCGGACTGAAGGGCCCCAGGTTTGATTCCCATCAAGAGGATGTACCTTGGTTGCGCGCCTCCCCACTCCACTCCCCCCCCCCACACCCCCGTGTGGGGCGGTGCAGGAGGCAGCTGGTCAGTGTTTCTCATCCGATGTTTCTATCCCTCTCCCTCTCTGTAAAAAAATCAATTAAATATATTTTTAAAAAGTTGAAAGTACATGCATTCAGATGTCTCAAAAAACCTTGATTTAAAAATGGGCAAATATTTAAAAAGACTAAAGTGGTATACAGATGGCAAATAAACACGTGCAAACTTGTTCAACATCATTAGTCGTTGGGAAAATGCACATTAAAAACAAAATGTGATCCCACCACATCTATTAGAAAGGCTAAAATTAAAAATACTGATAGTACCATGGGTTGGTGAGGATGTAGAGAAACTGGGACTCACATGCTCTACTAGAGGGAAAGTAAAAAATGGGAAAAGAGGTGTTTCTTAAAAGGTTAAAATATGTATTCACCACTCCTAATTATTTGCCGAGAAAAGAAAGTAAATCCATATGAAGAATTGCACATGAGTGTTTATAGTACTTTTATTTGTAATAGCCCATAACTGGAAACAATCCATATGCCCATCAACAAGTGAATGGGTAAATTATCAATACAATGAATGAAAAGCAGTTAACTATTGATATATACAACATGTACAAATCTCAAAATACGTTGAGTGAAAGTAGACCGAAAATGTATGCTTTTGTTTATATAAAAGACTAGAAAATCCAAAGAAACCTATCTATAGAAAGCAGATCAGTGAAGATGGAAGGATTTTAAAGGGGCATGAAGAAACGGGGTGATTTACTATCTTGAGGGGGTCTGGTCTGACACATCTACATATGTCAAAACGTGTCAAATTGCACACTTCAAATTTGTGCAGTTTATTTAAAAAAGTAATATGTTAATACTGGTTCTCTAGTGGACCACCTCATATCTTATTAACCTACTATCAGGCTTACCTATTGATACTTGTATGTTTTCCTTCACATGAATATAAGCTCCATAGATTTTGAAAAACAACCATTTGGGGATTACTATTGTGTTCCAGAACAGTCCTTGGGACGTGTTTAGCATTCAGTATTGTTGAGGAAATATATGTCAGAGTCAAAATAATGTAATATGGTTAAAATGAAACCCGAAAGCCCTGTGCCGTTCTCCAGCGGTAACCACGGCAGCTTACTCCAGACCCTCTGTCACAGCGCAGGGGACATGCGCCACAGCCTGCTCTGCCGGTTGCTGCTCACAAACACCTTATGTGGGCCACCCCATGTAAAAATTCTGACTCTTGTATTCTATCCTGTGGGTAAGACTACGGTTTAACTTTTCTGAACTAGTCACCCCATTTTATTATATGCTGTAGTAAACATTTTTGTCCATATTACCTTATATACTTTGGCTAGAATTTCTGTAGGATAAATTTTCTCTTAGGATTGCTAAATCATCAACACCTCAAAGTACCAAATTGCCCCCAAAATGTGCTAATTAACTCTCTCTCATCCGTGTATGAGATTCCTTGATTTCCCATATCGTCATCAACATCAGTGACTCTGCAGTTTTTGCTAATGCTGTTCATTTGGAAACGTGTGTAGAGGAAGGGGCAGAGAGGGAAAGGGCCTGTGCCTGGCCCCACCTGGACACAGCTCACTCTGGTTCTCCGTCGTCCTCTCTAGAGGTGAGCGCCCCTGAGTGGACGTGGGTCTCTGGCTTCTTTCACTCGGCATGGGTGCTGGGGCCGCTGCAGCTGCCAGCCAGGATACCCCTAACCCAGGGCCCATCCCTGGCCTGCTGCCCCGGCCAGCACCCCCCAGAGGGGAAGGGTCCTCTCCCCTTCCGCCTAAAGCTGTTGTATCAGGAGTGGCTCATTTCCTCTTACACTCAGATTGGCCCAACCATCCTACACCTTCATTAAGAAACAAGATACACAGAAACTCCCCTGGTCTACATTCTAAGTAGCTTTTACACCGGCATCTGAGGGACGCGATCACCGAGGGGAACCGCTTGGATGCGCGGGGAAGTTGATGGGGCAGGGGGGCCAGATTCCTGCAGGGAAGCTCGTGCGGGCAGCACCGACCGATCGGCCCTCACGACCTGAGCCGTTTCCTTCGTGGGAGGCCCCCAGTCACCCCGGCCCTACCCTGCACGTGGCCAGCGCAAGGGCAAGGGGCAGGGGCGCTTGTGAATTCGCCTTTCACAGTGGGCAGTGGGAAAGCGATCAAAGGTCCTTTTCTAAGTGGACGGGTCACTCCCTCTAACCTAGGTGAGTGGGTGGAGGGCCGGGGGCCATCAGGTTGCGCACGCGCATTGCCTCCCGGACGCGCTCTGGGGGACTCCCCACCCTCGGCTTAAGGCGTGTGCGCGTGCGCGGCGCGAGGGGGCGGGGCCCGCGCGCGCGTCCCGGTTGCCTGGATACCATTGCGAAACAATAGCAGCGGTTGGCGCTCCTGAGCTGCCGTGCTTAGGCCGCTAGAGGGGGCGGTTGGTCCTCACTTTCTGAGGAGGCTGACCCAGAGCGGGTAGGAGCTCCCGCGGGCCGCCCGAACCCCCGGGGAAACCAACTCGGGCCGATCCCAAACCCGGGACCCGGCCCAGACCCGGCAGCTGGACCTGGGCCCCGCCCCCCGGCCCCGTCCCAAACCCGGGACCCGGGACCCGCCCCCCGCCCCGTCCCAAACCCGGGACCTGGGCCCCGCCCCCCGCCCCGTCCCAAACCCGGGACCCGCCCCCCGTCCCCCGCCCCGTCCCAAACCCGGGACCTGGGCCCCGCCCCCCGCCCCATCCCAAACCCGGGACCCGGCCCGGATCCGGCAGCTGGACCTGGGCCCCGCCCCGTCCCAAACCCGGGACCCGGCCCGGACCCGGCAGCTGGACCTCGGCCCCGCCCCCCGGCCCCGTCCCAAACCCGGGACCTGGGCCCCGCCCCCCGCCCCGTCCCAAACTGGGGTGGCGGGTGGGATGGGCATCCCTAGGCTGACTCTCCGCCCTTATCCCCCCGCAGCACACCTAGACCGCCCTAGCCTGGTCCTGGTCTTTGGAGAGCGATGCCGCTGCCCGACACCTTATTCTGCGCGCAGCAGATCCACATCCCACCCGAGCTGCCGGACATCCTGAAGCAGTTCACCAAGGCGGCCATCCGCACCCAGCCCGCCGACGTGCTGCAGTGGGCCGCGGGGTAAGCGCCGGCCGGGCCGCCGCGGCCTCAGCGGCATCTACACCGAAGTCTCTGTCTAGGAAGCACCGTTGGTTTATGGACCATGGGACCAGAAGTCACTGCAAAAACGCTCACTTATCTACAAAAAGTAGCAATAACTCCATTGCTGGAGGGTGGTATTTAAGCAGATAGGCTAAAACTTAGAAAGCAAGTGCTTGGGGTGTAAAGTTTCTGCATTGCGTTATAAAACTATAACCACAGTCCCTTTATTTTATTGGCAAGGTGCTCTTTACGATGAGAAATGGTATGGCTGTGTCCCTCCTTCTCAGGGAATCCCGCCAGGGTCAGGGACTGGCGGACCCAGAACCGCGGGAGTCCTATTGTCCTGTTGGGGTGGGGTGCTCAGCCCAAGGCCCGGAAGGCTCAGCTCTGCCCAGCGGGTTCACAGCAAATGCGCCTTCACAGATCCTTGTGGCAAATGTTCTATTTCCTGGACAGACATTCCTAATTTTAAAGTTACAAGTCACCAGACCTTAGAACCATTAAAATAAACCCTTTTGATTTTACAGGAAAGCTCTTTGCCCTTTTCCCAGTAAACAGACATAGAAGCTTAATTTTATGGCCACAGAAATCAGTATAAATTTAACTAAAATGTGTTAGCAAATAGAGTATCGAGTTTCGCTGCCCTCTAAACTATATAACCAGTGAATTCGTTTCCTATGAACTGCTGTACAAAATCCCATGAAATGTGATGGATTTATACAACAGACGTTTTTATTCTCTTACGGTCCTGGTGGCCAGCAAGGCTCTGCTCTGTCTGGAGGTGCAAGGGGGAATCCATCTGTTTGCTTGACTTTTCCAGCTTCTACAGCTTCATTCCTTGTACTCCTCCCCGTCCTTCCTTTTAAAGCCGGTAGTGTGACAGCTTCAAGTTTCCATCTCCCTCGTCTGAGGACACTTGTGATTGCATATAGGACCCATCCAGATAATACAGAATAATTCCCCATCTCAAAATCATAGGCAAAGTCCCTATTACCAAGCAGAATCAGACACATAGTTAGTTCCAGGACTAGGGCCTAGATATCTCACCGGACCTTTCACACGAGGCTGCTGACTACTTGTTAAATTGGTGCTTTGCCTCTGACACTTTGATCAATTGCTTCTGAAGTAACCTTTCAAGGTTCTTAAAAAACAAAAATTATGGCCTCTAGTTTTAACCATTATTCAAGCCCAAATAAAAGATTGTAAAATAAAAAAAAGATAGTCAGGACTTGTAAGATTTATTTGTGACTTAATCATTTTTATTTGGGCCATTAAATTAGATTATTTGGTAACACTTTAGAGACAACTATTTTAAGCTCCACTTTAAAAGGCTAAGCTGAGAACTTTCTGAATGTTCTATGCGACTCATTTCAAGAACAATTTCGGAGCATAGGAGAAAAAAATCAAGCATTACTCATTGAGCAGTGTGTGTGTGATGGACTCAGATGTGTTCTGGCTGTCCCAGAACACACTCTGTTAGGACGTTGTTCAGAAGGAGGTGAGTTGGCCTTGGAGAGATTTCATAGGCAGAGATTGGGGTCAAGACAAGGTGGAGGGTATACTGGAGGAGGACTCAGCATCTGAACACAGGGGCTGTGCCAGGAAGAAGAAAATACGAAATAAAAGCAGAACAGAAAACCAGGGTGCATATGAGAGTAACTGCTGTGCAAGTAGACTTTCAGGTTAGCATTCTTTTCAAAGGAGGGGATTTTCCAGTGGCAAAGGTGGGGCAGCCCTGCCCCCCAGCCTGGGCACTCTGCTGTGACGTCACAGCTAGTCAGCTGTGCCTTATGATGTTATCGAGCAGTCGTGCGCCCTGCAGCATGACGGAGGACAGAATCGGTTTATCTAGTACCAGGAGGCTGCTTTTGCTCACAGGTGCCTCCAGGGAACTGGCAGAGTCTAACACAAGCCGGGCTTGTCACTTGTTTGACACTTTGGAGGGGACAACTTTTGGGTGGTGTATGAGGAGGTGGGGTGTAGGATCCTTAGCTAAATCCTGGTCTGCACCCACTAGATGGCAGTAACACCATCTCCTTCCTGTGGCGACAACTAAAATATCTCTGGAAATTGCTAGTGCCTTCTTGGGAAGGGGTAGGACACACACGGCCCCTGTTGAGATATTCCACAGGCTCTATCAGGCATGAGGGTGGGTTTGATAGGTTATGAAGAATAAAGTCCATGAAGTGGAAACCATAATTAGGAGCAATATGGCAAATCTATGCACCCACCCTTCAGCCTGGCACTTCCGTCTTAAGGTCCACATTGATCTCACTGCTGCCTTCATTTTGACTCTTTTTAAAAAAATATATATTTTATTGATTTTTTACAGAGAGGAAAGATAGAGGGATAGAGAGTTAGAAACATCGATGAGAGAGAGTCATTGATCAGCTGCCTCTTGCACACCCCCCACTGGGATGTGCCCGCAACCAGGGTACAGGCCCTTGACTGGAATCGAACCCGGGACCTTTCAGTTCACAGGCCGACGCTCTATCCACTGAGCCAAACCGGTTTTGGCCGTTTTGACTCTTATTAAATATGTCTCGAGTGTCTTAAAAGCATGAAAGCAGAGTAGAATTTGAGGGTGAAGAAAAGGGATGATTTTTAAAATTTGTTTTAGTCCAAATTTAGATATCCTTCTACATTTTGTTACATATTCAGTTGTTTCCAGTGATTCATATCTTTTAACTTACAACCTGTGGCCCTGGTGGATGGTCTAGAGTTCCTTTCCCTGGACATGCTGTTCCTTTTCATGGTGTTCGTGGTTAGAGCTGCAGTGACGGGGCTCAGCAGCTGGCCCCCTCTGGCATGCTGGCCCAGAGGGGAGTGAGTTTTGCCTGGTACCCCTCCCACCGGCCAGAGGCTGGGTGTGTGCCCCCTCTTGACTTGTTGCCCCAAAACATTTCTGTGCCCCTACTTGCCCCCATCATAAGCAGCAATGTTGGGAGCCCAGAAAGGAACAATTAAAGGGGAAAAATACTAAAAAATAAAACAAACAAGGCAAACCCAGGCGGGATCAGGGAAGTGTGAGGGAGGGTGGTCTCTGACGTGGCAGAGCGGGCGCAACCCACCCTCAGTGCAGCCAACAGAACGCCCCTGATCGGGTGCCTTAGTGTTGAATAGCAGAGATGGATGCTCTGGAACCTCAGGAAAAGGGACGGCCACGCCTCAGCTGTTAAAGCGGAACGCGGGGCCATGACACGGCCCTTGGACGCTGTGGCCTGCTTCCTCCAGCGCCTCTGGCCACTTTTCAGTTGTGTCTGCTCAGTACTCCCTGGAGCCTGAGGCAGGGGCTGTCCTTATCCCTGCTTTACAGACAGAGTCACTGAGGCAGCCGAGAGGGTAAGTAAGAGAGCCGAGTGGAGGAAGCGGGTGGATCTGCCCTTCGGAGTCCAGAGCTCTCCTCCCCGATCACTGGGGCTTAGGGCTGCTTTAAGAAGCGCACTCATGAGTGTTAACTTGCCCTTTGTGTATTGATGCGTCTTCAGAGATGTCTGTTGTCGTTGTTAGGTATTTCTCCGCTTTGTCAAAAGGAGATCCACTTCCTGTAAAGGAGAGAATTGAAATGCCCGTGGCCACTCAGAAAACAGACACTGGCCTGACTCAAGGAATGCTCAAAGTGCTGCACAAGCAGGTATAAGGGCCATGCCACAGCCAGCCTGCCCGCGGGAAGCGGCGCCCCGCGGCCTGACACAAACGCCACCAACATCTCGCAAGTCGCTTCCCCTGCAATAAACCTTTGAATTTCATTCAAAAAGGAACTTGTTGTATTCAGTGCCTTTCTTTAGCTGAAAGAACCCACGGTAGCTATTCATGATTAGATTGTAGAAAAGTGAAATGTAAATATCAAATTAAGATGCTTAGGTGCTGCTGGACTTAAAAAAAAAAAGGCTAACAATATGAAAGTGGGACATTTTAGACCCGAGAATGGCAGCTGCTAGTTTGCAGCGTGCTGATGAGGCTGCGGTGGTCCTCAGAGGACGGGGCCCTGAGGCTGGTTTCCAACCCTCCAGGCAGCCCGGGCCTGGCCCTGCCAGACGGCCCTTGGCGAGTCTTCTCCACCCACTGGCTCGCTTTTAGGAAAATGAGTTAGTAGGAAGTATACCACCCAGCTTTGAGGCTGGGCATTCAGATGATTGGGTCATATTACTAAAAATGATTTTGATTTTTTTTAAAAGTGACCTGCCCCCATTGTACATATATTTTTTTTTCAATTACAGTTGGCATACACTATAAAGCTAGTTTCAGGTATACAACATAGAGCCCGTTATTTATTTTGAAGTACTGGGCTTTTGGATCGGGTACACTGACTTTGAGACCAGATTCTCCGTGGCTCTCTACTAAAAGGGAACACGAATGACCATGGAAAGAGGGCAGCTCAGGGCAGGACCTGCTGATGTTGCTGAAAGCCCTCACACAGATTGGGACGAGCAGGTCACAGAAGTTGCCCATTTTCATTGATTGTTTGAAATAGTAGAAGCAATAAAATTAGTTTTAAGATTTCTCCCATGTAACTATTAACCTGTATGGGGTGGGATTTTAAGTGTTTTTACTTATTAAAATTAGTTTTTGATTGCCAAGTATTACAGTCAGGTAATAGAGGATGCCACCCCTAGCACCAGCATGCCCCTCCCCTCCTTTTAAAAAATATATTTTATTGATTTTTTACAGAGAGGAAGGGAGAGGCAGATAGAGAGCGCTAGAAACTTCATTGATCAGCTGTCTCCCGCACACCCCCTACTGGGGATGTGCCCGCAACCAAGGTACATGCCCTTGACCGGAATCGAACCCGGGACCCTTTGGTCCGCAAGCCGATGCTTCATTCACTGAGCCAAACCGGCTAGGGCCCAGCATGTCCTTTTTATTAAGTTATAGCACTATGCCATGTTTGCTTCACGGCCCTTATTTAAGAAGTAAATTGCTATGACCATTGTTCTCAAGCTCAGTGGCCCCCCCCAACCCCCCACCCTGCACGTTGACCCTCCCACCACACATGTCCCCTCCCTCCACAGGGCTAACTGGGCCATGAAGTCAGTCCACCTGTTCCCGCATGGAGTGCGTGGTGTATGTTCAAGTGCTCACAGCACTAGAGGATTCTGTGGGTGTTTAAACTTACATAAATTGTAACTTATTGTGTCTTCTAAACAGTGTGGCCACAAGCAATACGTGGACTTACTGGACCTCGAAAAGAAATGGAGAAGTTTGTGCCTGCCGATGGAGAAGCTCAGAGCGCTCATAGAACTGGACCCCTGTGATCACAAAATCGAGTGGATCAAGTTTTTAGCACTTGGATGTAGCATGCTTGGTGGGGTACGTACCTGGAAATGGCACTTTGATAATTAAGTATAATCATAGGCTTGGCTGAAAAATAACTTAGGGGTTTCAGCCACTGAAGGAAACAAATTATTTTAGTAACTTTGTCTCAGAAAAGCAGTATTTTTCAGATACCTGTTATATTTTCAGGCTTCTAGTTATTTTAATGTACAGAAATGAAATATTTGTGAACACCTCAATTTAAAAGATACAACAGTAGATAAGATATATGGATACCGTTACAATGTATTGAGGTTTTATTAAACCACTCATCATTTGGTAAATGGATAATACCTGTTTTCCTAATCTGTGGAGAGAGGCACAGAATTATTATTATTTTTTAAAATATATTTTATTGATTTTTTACAGAGAGGAAGAGAGAGGGATAGAGAGTTAGAAACACTGATGAGAGAGAAACATCAACCAGCTGCCTCTTGCACACCCCCTAACTGGGGATGTGCCCACAACCAAGGTACATGCCCTTGACCGGAATCCAACCTGGGACCTTTCAGTCCGCAGACCAACGCTCTATCCACTGAACCAAACCGATTTCGGCGAGGCACAGAATTATTTTATACTTTAGTTAAAACCTATTACGAGTAACTAACATACACAGTACAGCTGTGCTAATGGGAAAATATAACCCAAGCGCTCAGGAGTGAAGACAGAGGACCCTGCTGTTTCAGAGGTGAGAGGGCTCCCCAGCCCAGGAGAGGGGTGCGATGTGGGGGAGGAGCTCCGAGTTGAAGGTTTTCACAAAGACTAGAGCCATCCCTCCCTCCCCTCCCAGTGCATGTGGGGCACCGCCTGGTGCCGCCCTGCTCTGGCTGCTGAGCAGCGCCCCTGGTCCTGGGAGCCTCCGCCCGGAGCTCTGCCTTCGTGGGAAGCTGCAGGGGAGCGGCGTGAGGGATGGGGTCGCGGCCTCTGGCTGCCCTGCAGGCCGGTCAGGTGTGGTAGTGGTTCCTGTCCCCTTCCCCAGTGCCCATGTGCGCCTGGTGCCATGATCGCATGCGCATGTCGGACCTGTGTCTTTACATTTCTGCAGCTCCCTCAGTGGTCTGTGTCACCCTCATGGGCTTTCTCCGTCAGTGTGCAGGGAATGGGGGCACAAAACAGATAAAAAAAACCAACAAAAAAACCCCTGGCTCTGCCCTTTGCATCCCTGAGGATGTCAGTGCTGTCCCCACAGGGTCACTTTGAGGTGAAGCAGGCCCGTGGCTTCCCCTCCACCTGCAGCTCCCCCAGACTTCCCTCTGTGCCCGCCCCACTGGGGGGTTTGCTTTTATTTAATTTATATTTTATTGATTTTTTTTTTTTTTACAGAGAGGAAGGGAGAGGAATAGAGAGTTAGAAACATCGATGAGAGAGAAACATCGATCAGCTGCCTCCTGCACACCTCCTACTGGGGATGTGCCCGCAGCCAGGGTACATGCCCTTGACTGGAATGGAACCCGGGACCTTTCAGTCCACAGGCCCACGCTCTATCCACTGGGCCAAACCGGTTAGGGCGCGCCTGGGGGTTTTCTTGCTCTTTTCTCCTGAGTGCAGCCCAGATTGTTCCCTCAGGAGCTTCCCTGGGAGGAAGGCCCTGATGGGCAGTGTTTGCCCATGGCTGCGCTGTAACTGCCCACCGCCCCTCATTTCAGCCTCCCAACAGGACGCTGTCCCACACATTCCGGGGGGTGTGGGAACCAGGCCAGGAGCCGCTCCGAACCCACTGCACGCACGCAGGCCGTGGGGCCTGCCGCCCACAGTGCTCTTGTGGGGTCACCGAGGGTCCGACAGCACGAAGCCAGCCCTCAGACAATGGCTTTCCCTCCCTGAGTGCATCTCCCTGCCCTCGGCCGGAGCGGCTTGAAGGGGAGAGTGGGTCAGGTCACGGCGCTGGGAGCTCAGTGGTGGGGGAAGGCTTCCCAGAAGACAGGCCTTTGGGCTGGAAGCTGCGGATGTGGGCCAGGGCGGGGGGGATGGGGGGACGGTGATGACACAGGCAGAGGGAGAGCGTGAGTGGGAGGAAGGCAGGTGCTTTCCAGAACCGAGACGAGGCCCGGAGCCCAGCGGGCAGGGGGCATCAGCTGGACCCTGCCCGCCCTGCACAGGGGCACCCCCAGGTGGTAACAGTTTGATTCGTCCCGGTCTGAGGAGGGGCCAGAGGGCTGGGGGGTTCTGCGTTGGCTTAGGGGGTGTGTCTTTAAGGAGACCGATGCCTCCTCCTCTTTAAAAGTCATTCCCATTTTAATACAAAATCTGTGGATTAAAACTTTTTTTAAACCAGTTGCATCCTGACAAGATCTTTCCTTTTTATTTCCTTATGTCACGTACACATTCACCTAGTTCTTAATTCAGATAAGAACATTGTGTACTTTCAGGAGGGTTTCTGTGAAATGTAATTGAGTGTCTATTCCAGTTTTAACAAATACAAGCAGTAATTCTTCCCCCACCCCCCCCCCCTCCCCACCCCGCCATCCGCAGTCCCTGAACACCGTGATGAAGAACCTGTGCGAGATCCTGACCCAGGACCCCGAGGGGGGGCCCGCGCGCATCCCCTTCAAGACCTTCTCCTACGTCTACCGCTACCTGTCCCGCCTGGACGGGGACACTCCCGCCTCGGAGACGGAGGCCTATCTCGCCTCGCTGAAGGACAGCATGTGAGTATGGTGGTCCCTGGCCGGCCGGGTGGTCCCCGGAGGTCTTCCTCCCGCCCCGCTGATCGCTGATCTCGTATTCCTGGTCCCACTTCTCCCGTGGGGTCGGAGGGGAGGCTGCGGGGAGACTGCCGCAGGAGGCGCTGGGAGGAGGGGGTTCAGTTCTCCAGACTTCAGAGGGAGAAAATGTATCCCGCCTCTCAGAATGTTTATCCACACTTACCCTGATTCTTAAGGGCAGGGTGTCCTGTGATTTAAAATGGTAGCATGTCGCACAGACTGTGCAGAGGGCGAGCAGCCTGGGGGCAGCCTCGCAGGGGCCATGGCTGCGCAGAAGGGGCTCCCTGAGGGTGGTGACATTGCCCCTCATGAACTGAAGCCCAGGAAGCCTGGCGATTCTGGGGGAAGGGGCTCTAGGGGAGGCGGGATGGAGCTGACTCCCACAGGGTGAGAGAGAGAGAGAGAGAGAGAGAGAGAGAGAGAGAGAGAGAGAGAGAGAGAGAGCGAGCGCCTGTGATCCAAGGCCTTCCAGCACCTCCTGGGCCACCCCCTAAATGCCTGGGAGGTGTCCCCAAGCCTCACACTGCCGCCATCTGGAGCTTTGCCCCAGCACATGCTCATGGGGCGCCTGCTCTGCCAGGGATGTGGCTTTTGGAAGTTGCAGTCCTGGGTGCTCCACACGCACAGATATCCGGCCAGCGGGCGGGCTGGAGGGCCATGGGGGCTGGAGGGCCATGGGGACGGGAGAGCCGGGGGAGGGGCCTGACCAGGAGGATATGTCCCTCCGGCACTGAGAAGCCCTCCTGGCGGCCCATCATCACTGCCCAGAGGGACACTCCTGCCTCCCCACTTCCCAGCCTCCCTTAGTGGGACCCCAGCGTGGGCCGGATACCTCCCTCCCTGCTGCCAGCCCTGGCTGCCCCACAGTGCTCACTCCTGTCCCTTCTGAGCTGTGTTCTCTGCTCCCTCTTAAAATCGCATCCCCTCTGAGGCCCCTTTCACGGAACTCTGCCTCCAGACGCCACAGTCCACTGTCTTTCCTCTAGGCCAGTGGTCGGCAAACTCAGCAGTCAACAGAGACAAATAACAGTACAACGATTGAAATTTCTTTGGAGAGCCAAATTTTTTAAGCTTCTTCTAATGCCACTTCTTCAAATAGACTTGCCCAGGCCGTGGTATTTTGTGGAAGAGCCACACTCAAGGGGCCAAAGAGCCGCATGTGGCTCTCAAGCTGCGGTTTGCTGACCACGGGGCTAGCCTCTCACCCACCAGCTTTGTGGCCCTCCCTGTAGCTCCCCAGTTACTCTCTTCTCTCCATGGCACTCCCCACACCGCTAGGCCCCTGGTGGCCCCACACCGGCCTTTTTAAATAGAAGGGTACTTCTGTTACTAGAGACTAAAATTTGTGTTGTCAATAAAGAAAGTTCATTAAATATAGTACTGATTTTTTCCACCTAAAAATAAATGCCCATTTTTGTACAAAAAAATAGAATGCTTTAATTTTCCACGTAGAAATGACTGATTATTGACCATAAATAATTAATTTTTAAGGTAAAACTGTTAGATTATATTGCATTTAAATTACAGGTTGAATAAATTATACTAAATCATGTTGTTCTATAAAATTTGTATTGTGTGTGGTGAGAAATTACTAATAAGTGTGTCTCTGTTTCCATTTTAGAGACAGTAGAAAGAATGGCATGATCGGACTCATGGATTTCTTCGTCCTAGCGAGGAAAATGTAAAAAATCTCAAATAGAAAACTCAGAAGACATGCCATTAATACAGAGAAAAACACACTTTAATGTCAAAAGAGTGTGTTTTAAAACCTTGGCACCAATTACAACTTGTCATTAACCACATGCAGACGTTGCGTGAGTTTTTCTGGTGATGGAAGTGGAGTGTGACCAGTGAGTCGGGGTTGGGGTGGGGCTATTTAATGATTGCTCTTCCCTGTGTCCTTGTGTCCTTGTAAGAACCTTCAGTCGTTCCTGGTAGTGAAATGATCTGTTTGACTGGAACAGTCTGTGGGAAGCTGCGGAGCAGGGAGGAGGATGGACGGGCAGCTTAAAACCGGTGGTTCTGCTTTTCCATGGGAAACGCTTCATTCCTGGCCGCTGGGCCCGCGCCAGGCCAGGAGAGGTCTCTGGCCAAAGCTGGTCTCCTCCCAGAGAGGTGGGCCTGGGAGCTGGCGCTCGCTGAAGGGCATCCATGGCCGCGAAGCAACTGGACAGGCCATGTGGACCCGCACTGGTCCGCTGAACAGGAACACTGGGCAGGCAAATAACACGAGAGCTGGGGAATGGTCTGGTTCCCTGGATCTGTGCCATCGGCCACCATGCTAATCAACGTCAGCAAAGTGAAAACTCAGGGTCAGGTGAAAGGGTTTGCTGTTACCTAAAAGTGGGTAGTGGTTTTTTTGTTTTGTTTTTTTTTGCACTTAGGTGTGTAAAGTGTGTTTTTCATCTGGACAGTTAAACCCCCTTATTTGAGATGATCACTTGCCTGGACTTTTGGTCACCATCCCAGGTAACAGACAACATATAGAGATCACTCAGAAATGTACAAGTAACTTGGAGTTTCTAAAAGCATTTGCAATTTTGAAGTTGCTTTAAACCTTCTAAAATCTTGACTGCCCCAAAGAATTTAAACATTTCCCCCTGCTGTAATGCCTCCACACATGGGGCCCAGAAGAAAAGAAACCTCAGGTTTTGCATAAGCGCAGTTGTAGGTCACGGTGTGAATGAACGCGGAGGGGAGCGGGCTGCAGCACAGGCTGTGCGGGAGAACACAGAAGGTGTTGTGTGTAAGACAGACAGCTGGCCACCCCGGGAGCGCACACATGGCGTGGAGCACACAGGACGTTTGCGTTCTATGAAGATGCTCTGGCCTATCAGGAGACAGAAAGGGGGGAGTTTAATAGGGAATGATCAGCGTCCCCTCAGGTGGAACAGTAAGAACCTCCCAATCCCAAGGCTGGACCTGGACTTCACAGGCAGAGAGGTCCTGGAGCCCTCGAGGTCTGCGGGGCTCCCCAGGTGAACAAAGTGAAGCCAGAAGCCGAAAGGGATGTGTGCTGTGCCCCCCGCCCCCCCCACGTGTCTCTCCAGGAATCGTGAGTATAGAACCCACAGAGAAGCTTGTTTGAACATAAAGTCCTTGGAGAATATGTCCCCACCAGCCCTTCCTTCCCAGAGAGTCTGCTGGAGGAAGAGAGCCAGGCTGCAGAGGGCACCATGAGACCGCGGAGCACTGAGTATTGTTTAATCTGTGCAGGTACAACCAGGTGACGGGTATAAGGAAGGGGTACACTGTCGTAAACAATGGATGTATGCGCTGACCAGTAGGTACAGATCATCTGAAAGAAATTTGGAGGCTGCAAAGTCCATATGAATGTTAAAATGATGTTCACATCAGATGTAGGGGAAATTTCATTACTGATCATAGTAGAGAACCAGCATTCAGTAGCCAAAAAAGAAAAGACTAAGGATATTATATAAAGATACATGAGGTAACAGCAAAAATATAAATCTTCCTAAGTACCTTAATGTAAGCAGGGAAGTAGAACAGCAGAAGCTAAACCATGAAATAACCATGTGATTGTGTAGGAGGAGGGAGGTGTGGGATGAAAGAGGCGGAGCTTGATGCTGGCCTTCTCTGAACTTACCTTTGTACTGACTTGATTTTGGAATCCTGTAAATATTTTAAATAATTATAAAACATAATCATATTTAAAAGAAATCACTGAAAATTGGCCATAAAATGAAACCAGTGAACTTAGAATGAAATGAAAGTTAACACTCCCATATTTCTTTTAATAGTCAGTATTGGTGGTACTAGAATAAATTAGTAACAGTTTTGGCGTCATTACTCTGGATTTTGGCATGGAATTATGAAGATACAAAGTAAATTAGATAAGGTTAAGTCAAAATCCTGAGGTCCTGACTTATGAGTATCTGTATGAAATCATAGTCTCTGTCTGCCGAAAAGAGCCAGCAGCAGACACCCATCCACCATGTAGGGCCACACCTACTACCCTGTTTCCCTGAAAATAAGACAGTGTCTTATATTAATGTTTGTTCCCAAAGATACGCTAGGTCTTATTTTCAGGGGATGTCTTATTTTTCCATGAAGAAGAATACGGTACACATTTATTGTTAAATGAAAATAAAGGAAATTTATTACTTATATACGGTACAGTAGTACGGTAGTTGTCAACACAAACCAGACAAACTGTGAATCCTACAGTATTAAGAATTTACTCATTTATTCAATGACAATCGTGTCATCATCTTCTGGAACATCATCATAACAATCCAATTCCTGAATTTCCTGGTGAATTTCTTGTGACTCCATTTCTTTCAGAATCAGTGGACCAAATCTCTCATGTTTGCCCAGGGGGGCCTTATTTTCAGGGGGATGCCTTATATTTCACTCAGAAGGAAACCTGTAGGTAGGTCTTATTTTCGGAGGATGTCTTATTTTCGGGGAAACACGGTAGCCAGACAGTGGGTCCTAACTCCCCTTCTCCAGGGAGAGGAGCCGGGACTCCCTGATGCGGACCGATTCAGGGAATGTAGCAGGTGTGGCCCAGAACATTGTGTCAGCTGCAGTCAAGGTCCATGTCTGAGGACTTGGGAGTCAAATTGAATGAACTTCTACTGGTCATAGGAAGTTTGGCTTTCAATTGCTGCCTGCCTTCGGGGAGCTCACTCAAATGCTTTAATAACTACACACTTTATTGTATCATTAACGGATCCATGCGCTGGATGAAATAAACCATTCAAGTGACTGGAGAGTTTGAACTAAGGAGGTGGAAGGGGCAACCAGCAGAAACCCCTTTGCTGCCAGGAGACTGGGATCCACAGGACCTGACGGGACTGGTAGGGGCTTGGGGATGAGGGACCCAGCTCTGCACACAAGCTGCCTGTGTGAGGAGGCAGATGGCCCATAGGGACTCAGCACCTCGAGAGACAAGACTTTTCTAATTAAAGTGACTTGAAAAATAGGCTATGACAATGATGGAAAATGAGTATTAAAAAAAAAAAAAATCCCTGGCATTTGTGAGGTTTGGCTTGGAAAATGTCTGCTTTCCCTTGATTCAGAGGAGTGAGTTGGGGGGAAACAGAGCTGGAAAAAGCAATAAGATGCAAATCAACCGATGTAACTTTGGCCTTAGGACATCAGGGATTGCCTGTCTCTTTGCCATTCTCATTGCCATTCTCATTGAAGCCCTTGTCCCTGCAGTGGCAATCGCTGAATTATTTGGTTTTCAATCCAACTCTTATTTGTCAGCTTCTATATTTTTCACCTTTAAAGAAAGTGGTTTTTGTTTTGTTTGATGTTCTTGATCTGCAGGAAGAGAGAAGGCAGAAGTAGAGGTGACTAAGGAAATGTGACCGTCTGGCATGGTAGGGTTCTCAGGGCTGGGCAGGGCCAATGATTTTGTCCATAAAATGGTGTAGCTGTAAGTCGTTAATTTCATTTATACTTAGCTGTCACTTCCTGGCATTCCCTGGCATACTTGTGAATTCTTGTAACCTGAGAAGATCGAGCTTTACAAATGGTTTACAAATGTAGTGGGGGTTTTAAGATAGCCAATTTAACAATTAACGAAGACTGGATATATAAATTAATCATTGGGTTTGATTTTGCTGTTTCCTAATTTGCAGTCTATGATGTTTTTTCCACCCTTATACATTTCACAGGCCCTTGAAATACTGGATAGGCCTCAGACCCTGAGCCTTTGCATTTACAAAGTGAAAGGCATTCAGGCTCTCCCTAAGGAAAATCCCTACTCCATTATGTTGCTTTGCAGAATTCATTCTCCTCAGTGTTCGAAGTGGATTCTCACCAGAGACCCAGGAGGTGATGGCAGAAGTATAATTAATCCACTTTTCTAGGGGACTGACCAGAACTGAGAGGCCAGGAGCAGTATCCTGGGCCCGGTGCTGCCCCAGAACTCGGGCCACCCACCTAACTGGCTCTCTGTGGGGTCAGAAGACCCAACCGGGGAAGTAGACTGAGTGGGTGTTGATACGTTAATGTGCAGTCTTCCCTGGAATGGTTGGTTTTTTCCAGAAGCCTCGTGGGGAGTTGGTATGTGACCCCACTAAGATGGAGCAGGGGTCCCCTACTTCCCATGCTGAGATGGAGCCAGCTGACCTGGGATAGAGGGTGGCTCCCTTCTGGGCACATGTTCCACTCAGTCGCCACCCCACACCCCAGCTCCGTGCTCGAACCCAACCTGCAGAGGAGTTACCAGGCCCACCACCAAGATGGCCAGACGGCGGCACAAGGTGCCCTGGCTACGCGTTCCGTGGGGCCTCGGGGACTCTGAGGTTGGGGTGACGTTCTGGCTTAGATAAAAATGCATTTATCCAGTGCCTATAAAGTGTGGGCCCTGTGGCGAGGGCTTTACAGCTCATTCAGCTCTCACACCAACCTCACTCAGGGTACTGTCCTTACCTGCCTTTTACAGGTGAAGACACAGTACCTTGCCCAAGGTCCTCAGGTAGAAAGTGGCAGGGCTGAGACTGAACCGTGGCAGCCTGACTCCAGAGCCTGGGGAGCATCTACTCTAATAAAAGGTAAAGGGGGATGTGGACAGGACAGCTCAGTTGTTGATTTTCAAGTGGAAATTGTATAGAGTGGGCCACCTGTGTGGGACACTTGTATAGTATTTGAGAGGAAGGTTTCATAAAAGAGTCTTTACCCAAGTGTGAGGGCTCAGGGGAGCCCAGCAGAAAGGGTGCAGGGCTCTGGGCCAGCCGTGTGGGGGCTTTATGACTGTAGGCCTGAAAGGGTAGGGGGAGTAGTCATTGAGGTTCAGCTGGAGCTGGGAGAGGTTCCCTGGCAGGAGCTGATGATTTGGAAGAGAGGTAGACACACCCTTGATCCCCCTTCCCCCCCATACCAGGACCCCACAGGGAGGCAGCTGGGGGAAGAAATCAGGCCCCTCTCATTTGCCTCCTGCCCTCTGAGCTCCTGCCAGGGCCTCCTGTTGGCCAAGCACAACCCCAAAGCGCCTGATGCAGAGGTCAGCTGCCTCAGGCTGGGGCACAGTGGAGCAAGGAAAGGAATGCTTCCCACAAAGAAGTGGAAAATATTCAGCCCACAATCATCTGTGTGAAAGCAAGTGGGGAGATCCATATCTATATCTCTACATATTCATACTCGCTTCTAGATGGGCAAGTTATTCTTGGAATGATATGCATACAAAAACTGGTAGAAACTTCTGAGAAGAGTCCTACTTTCCATTGTGTAACTTTATCTACTCTTTGACATTTACCTCCTGCATTTATTATGTATACAATCCATCCGTCCATCCAGTAGGGACATGCATGTGATCTAAACTAGACCGATCAGGAAGCGCCCCTCAGTGATTTGTCCAAGGGGTGGGCACATCACCCACACTCAGCCAATCAGAGCCTTGCCTGAGCTTATCAGTCTGGAGCTGGGAGGAAGAGAGGTCTTTGTTGTGGCTGAGGATCCAGGATGTACCTGGTAATAGTAGCTGACAATTGTATGATACTTACATCCCATTGAAACACACAAGTTAGTGACAGTCTCTGTTTTTCATCCCCCAAAGGAAATGTCATCTAGTTCAACCTGTACATGCCAGACTGTAAAGGAGAGGGCTTTGTACAGGGCGTGTTCACCAGCAGCGTGGGAATTTGTCTTAGAATTCTACCTACTTTATAACAACCCCATAAAATGAGTGTTATTGTTATTAACCCCATACTATAAATGTGACAGTTGTGGAAGAGGGAAGTTAAGTGACTTGTCCAGTACTGCACAGCAGGCTACAGAGGCCCCCAGTGTGCACCCAAGTTCCCCTATGCTGTGTGCCCTGGTGTGTAGGAGCCGCACTACACTGGGGGTGGGGGCACGCAGAGCAGAGGCAGAGCAGCAGGGACTGGAGAGGTTAGGATCCTGGTCCTAAAGGCAGTACCACCTCAAGTTATACTTAGTCAAGGCCCCTGCCATGCTTTTTCAAGGTGAAGGAGAATATTGGGTCTTTGCAATGAAGTAACTAGATTTCTACGTCAATTCTTTCCCATGTGTAATTAATCAAAAGATACATCCAAGTCTTAACCTTGAAGCTATGAATGTGGCTTTGTTTGGAAAAGAAAAAAAAAAAGGCCCTTTGCATATGTAATTAAGAATCTTGAGATGGAATCATCTTGGATTCAGGGTGTGCCTTAAATCCAATGGCTGGTATCCTTACAAGAGAAAGACAAAGGGAGAGTTGAGATGTAGACATAAATACAGGGGAGAAGGCCATATGAAGACGGAGGTGGAGTGTGGAGTGATGCTGCCACAAGCCACTAGGAACTGGAAGAGACAAGGACGGGTCCTCCACTAGATGCTAACACCAGAATTGTGAGAGAGTAAATTTTTGTTTTAAGTCGCCCAGTTTGTGGTAATTTGTTATAGCATCTCTCGGAGACTAATACACCCCCTTTTCCCCTTTTCTTGCAAACTGAGAACAAAGGGGAATAAAAAATGAAGTAGAGTGCTGGTTTGATCCAAAACAAGATATATAGATTTGGTTTTCTGTTGATCCCAAAGATGTCAACCCTTTGAGGATTCCAGAGGTGAGGAAGAAGGGTTTGAGGCTGTTAGAAGTTGAGGGGTAGCCAGGGAATCTTGGCTCATTTAGAAGATCAGAGAGATTTCTAGAATGGGAAGAAGATAGATGAGCTCTCAATACATTTTCTAATTTCCACAGACTTTCTGAGTTTCTATGACAGGCAGAATTCTGAGGCGGCTTCCAAGATTCTGCCCCTGCTATAGACACCCTGTAGAGTCTCCTGTCCTGAGTGTGGGTAGACCTGTGACTACACTGGGATTGTTACACCTGGGACTGTGCACATTATATAAGATCCTGCAGTGGCAGACCGGAGGGAGACTTTTCTGCTGGCATTGAAGGACTCAGCTATGATCGTGAGAGGCCAGGTGTCAGGTCCTGTGGGTGGCCTTGGAGTTGAGAGCCACCTCCAGCTCACAGCCAGCAAAGAAATAGGAACCTCAGCACTATGACTGCGAGGAACTGAATCCTGCCAATAACCTGGCTGATCTGGAAGTGAACCCTGAGTGTCAGGTGAGCTCGCAGCCCCAGCCCACACCTTGATGTGGTGCCTCTGCCATGTGGGCAGAGGACTCCGAGTGGCCTCCCGACCACAGAAACTTTGAGATAATGAATGTGGACTGTCTTAAGCCACCAAGTTTGTGGTAAAGTGGGATGTGACAGTTGCTAAGCAAAGGTTCTCCCATATTGTAAATGAATAGAGACCACTAAGCTTGATTTTATATTTTTATGACCCAATAATAAAAACTTGTGTATATGTTTGGGTTGTATTTTTAGATGAATCACACATTAGTTCAAAAAAGTTTTTGAAAGTCTTTAAAGAAAATATAGCCCTGGCCGGTTTGGCTCAATGGATAGAGCGTCAGCCTGCAGACTGAAAGTTCCCAGGTTTGAATCTGGTTAAGGGCACATGCCCGGATTGCAGGCTCGATCCCCAGTAGGGGGCGTGCAGGAGGCAGCTAATCCATGATTCTCTCTCATCATTGATGTTTCTATATCTTCTTCTCCCTTCCTTTCTGAAACCAATTAAAAAAAAAATATATATATATATATATATATATATATACAGCCAGAGTGGCTCAGTGGTTGAGCATCAACCTATGAGCCAGGAGGTTGAGGTTTGATTCTCGGTCAGGGCACGTGCCTGGGGTTGCAGGCTTAATCCCCAGTAGGGGGTGTGTGCAGGAGGCAGCCAATCAAGGATTCTCTCTCATCACTGATGTTTCTATATCTCTCTCCCTTCCTCTCTGAAATCAATAAAGATATGTTTAAAAAAAAAAAAAAAGGAAAATAGAGAAAAGATGAGCAAAAGTTAATCACTGTGCATAGATAAATGTGTCCTAAGTGTCCTTGGTAATTGCCTGCTCATTGTTCTTTGTATGGCCAGCAGCTTTCCCCATGAACCCTCTGTGGTTGCACAAAGAGTGCCTCCAGTGTGATATCTTTCCACAAACAGCTTTTCCTGACATCCCACGGGCAGATTCCCAGCAAGCCCTGCTGGCACGGCACCTCAGCCTCTCCTCTGCCATTCCACTGACCACAGTCACACCCTCCCCAGTGAGATCTGGATCTCAGCTCTGGGGTTCACCATCCCAGTCCTGGGGAGATATGGCTGCTCCTTAGGTATCTATCAGATGTTCTTAGAGTTCTCTTTACTTCTTAGCAGCCCATTCCTTGTATCCCAGTGCTGTTAGTTACTGATTCCTATTTTCACCTTTCCCTGGATGACTTCCTGTGTGGTTTCTCTCTTGGTTCGGACCCAGACTGAGGCACTGTTCCCAGCAGCATGTGGGCACCAAGTGCTAAGCACTGAGTGGATAACTGCAGAGACCTCAGGTGACACAGCCTGTCTCCAAAGGGCAAACGTGGTGGCCACGTGAAGTGGACAGAGCACAGGACTCTGAGGTGAGAGGCTGTTTTCAGACCTGGTTCTGCAGGTGACTGTAGGATTTGGGGATCACCCAGCAACTCAGTTCCCTCCATCTGTGACCTGAAGGTACTGGACTCTGTGGCCTTGTGTTAGTGTCCAAGCTAAGCTTCTGTGACCAAGTGACTTAAAGAACATAGCTGTTTAGTTTTTCTCATATAAGTGCCTTTTCATGAGGGGTCCAAGGTGACAGGCTGCTCTGTTCCACATGGCCATTCAGGGACCCGGGTTCTGTCCTTCTTGCTGCTTTGTTATCACTTAGGGCAGTGGTGGGCAAACTCATTAGTCAACAGAGCAGCAAACGGAGGCTCTCGAGCCACAGTTTGCCGACCACTGACTTAGGGTATCTCTCTCATCCATGCAGTTCTGGGGAAGGTGGGGGCATGGAGGAGCATGAGCTCAAGGCCTTAAGGCGCAGACTGAGAAGTGGATCCTGCCACCTGCATTTGCATTCCAGCAGGGCGCACCTAGTCACAGGACCACGCCACACTGCACAGGAGGTTGGGAATGGAGTCAGGCCCAGCACAACTGATTACATGGAAGAAGTGAGAGGATGGAGGGGGATAACAATCAGTGCCGACTGGGCCTGCACCAGCTCTACCAGACGCCTCCACACATCACCCCAGCCACCGGCAGTTAAAGAAAGAAAATATCCTTGTCCATGTGGAAAATCCTGGCCTCATTGTTCTGCGTTCGCTTTTAGAGTTAAGATTTGTAGCACTTGCAGAAATGTCTTTACTGCTGAAAAGTGAGGAAGGAGGTGGCAGGTGTGACTAACAACACAGTCCCCGTGCATCTGCTAGGGAATACATTTTTTTCCCTCCAACGTAACAAATTAGAACCCATCTGGGATTTGAGAAGGCTGAGTTAAGGTTTCCTGGATCTGTTTGCCTATGAAGCAATAATGAAAAGTGAAGGAGATGAAGAAAAGTGAAGAAAAGGATGAGTTTAGAGAACCTTTGTGTGTCAGGTGGAACAAAGGCTTGTGAATTTTTATACATTTTATTCTAGTGTAGAATGGCACTGTTTAAGGGTTTGGGAGACAGAGGATGAAAATAAGAGCTTCTTTGGCCTTCTAATTTGCATACTCATTCTGATTGGCTGTGGGCGTAGCAAAGGTATGGTCAATTTACATGTTTGTCTATTATTGGGTAAGATTTCAAAATATTTTTGTGGGGATTAGAGGAATTAGCATTTTTAATGTTTTAGAATAGAGTCTAGCACATGTCGTTCATGGAGAAATGAAGACCTGGAGAATTCAGACTTGCCCACGTTCCTCCAGTGAGTCAGGGCTCAGAAAGTCTGGAGCCCTGGACCCCAGGTGTGCACAATCCTATTTCAGCTGTTTTTACAGGAGTGCAGTGAGGGCTCCTGCTCAGCTCACATGCCCCACATTTTCAGCGAGTGACCTACTAAGGAGCACTTGTCAAGTTTACTTGGCAGAGGTGCAAAGGCAGGGAGGAGACTGGAGCCCACACCCAGGCGTTCCTCTCTGGAAGTGGAGAGAGCAAGGGTGGGTGGAGGTGGGGCCCTTCCTCCCTCTCCCCAGGGGAGCAGATAATCCACAAAGGCCGGAAGTGCTGGGACTTGTGGGGAGGCTGCTAGGGGACAGGCTTGCTGACTTGGGGACTCTTGTCCCCATTTCTTCTTGTGAATATTTCCTGGGGGCAATGGGAGGGAAGGCCTCTCACCTGAGTCGCTGCCCGCACTATCTCCTCCCGTTGAATGCATGAAGTGATATGATTGGATTTTGCAGTTTAAAGGTGGGAGCTGGCCATTTCGGAAGTCATCTAGAACAGTGGTTAGCAAACTCATTAGTCAACAGAGCCAAATATCAACAGTACAACGATTGAAATTTCTTTTGAGAGCCAAAATTTTTAAACTTAAACTTCTTCTAATGCCAGTTCTTCAAAAATAGACTTGCCCAGGCCATGGTATTTTGTGGAAGAGCCACACTCAAGGGGACAAAGAGTCACAGGTGACTCGACAGCCGCAGTTTGTCGACCACTGATCTAGAATCTTCTTTTCTCCATCTCTTAGCTCAGCTGGAGGGTTGAGTCAGCTCAGGAACCTCTCAGTAGCCTGGCTTTGGGGACCTGCCCTCCAGGGTGATCATAGCAGGCAGGAGGCGGGGTCTTTCGAGTGGCCGGACGTGGGTCCCTCTCACACCCTTGGATGGACACAGGGACAGAGGCCTCCCCAAAGGAAATTAGGATTCTCTTACTAAGAGAAGCATAGAGGAATAAGGGCAGGCAAAAATGCCACAGCATGTGCCTAGGAGGTTCTCCCCATCTCTGCCGCCTGCCCCTCCCGATGGCGGCCCCTTGCCTCCCCGAGTGACAGTGCTAAGTGCCATTTTCAGTGCTCAGTGTGGTGACATGCAGCAGAAGGGCCCAGCTGTGTAAAGCAACCTTCTAGGTGTGCTGTCTGCTGCTGACCTCAGGGTCCACCGGGAGGGACCCCGCCCGACCCAGTGCCCTGACTCAGGGGTCCCAGGGTGACAAGTCAATGACCCACCTGGCCTCTCAGAGAGTGGATCCAGATGGTAGCAGTGACTACTCACGTGGAAATGCTTACTAAGTGGGTCTGTCTGGGGGGTACAGTCGTCAGAGCACAAAGATATTGTGCAGAAGAAAACACATCTTTTCACCTTTCCAGGGAAGATCTCACGCAGGGGCCAGGAGGGCATCCTGAGCTGACTCCCGTGGACACTGCAGCCGCTGAGCTTCTGCCACAGAGTCTTAGCCTGGCCGTCCCGGGGACAGACCAGGATTACGTCTGGAGGATAAGGGCATCAGCACCCCAGGCCAGCTGGCTGGAAATAGGCTCTAAATAGGGGTCATGGGGCGGGAATGGACTGAAGCATGCAGAATGGACAAATAGGGTGTGGGAGTGCTTCTTTCTGCTTGGGGAGAATCTCAGCAGATCTCAGCTGCCAAACAGGCAGCCCCAGCATTTCCTGCGGCAGGGACAGGTGCCCATGGTGCTAGTAACCTCCTCTGCTGAGAGACAGGGAACGGGCATGAAGAAATAAGGTAGGGGTGTCGAACTCAATCAGAGAAGGGGCCAAAATCTAAAATCCAGCCTAAATCACGGGCCGAATGGTTTACTGAACAGTCATAAACTGTCATTATGATGGAAACGCAGCGGAGTGCAGTGATGACAGCGCGGTGCGGGCCACATTGCAAGGCCTGGCGGGACGGATTTGGCCTGCGGGCCTTGTGTTTGACACATGTGAAATAAGGAGAGGCGAGAAAAAGGAAGAGAAATTGTGGGGAAGAGAGAAAATGTAAATAATCGAGACAATCCCGAGGGACTTACAATGGATGCCAGAATGGATGCCTGAGGCTTCGTGGGCACATGCTGAGGAGCCGTGATGTGGAACTGTGAGCTCCCTTTTTTGTAGATGTGGAGACTGAGGCACAGAGGCTTTAGAGCCTGAGAGTATTTATGAATGTTCATGGAAACACTGTGTTCACAGAGACCGAGTTAAAAAGCCACATGTGGAGTTCAGCTGTTCCATCCACAATATTTGCTAAGCATGTTCTGTGATTCCAAAGTCCACTGGCCCCCAGGGATACACGGCCCAGTGTCCCTCTGGGATGCTCACAGCCTAGCGGGGTGGGGAGGGGAAACACAGGTGCAATGCCGCTGTCCAGGTGCAGACACTGCAAGGCTGGGAGGAACAGAGGGCCTGGATTTCCCTTCAGATGCCTGACTGCCACGTGCAGGAGCTTAGCTTCCATGGGAGGCAGTGATGGGCATGGAGGTGGACAGAGGGTTTCTGAATGCCAACATGGGGGCTGTGATGGGAATGGGTTAGGTCTCTTTCTGTTGCAAAGTACAGAAACCAATTCAAACCAGTTTAGACAGAAAAACGAATGTGGTAGAAGGACCCTGGGGAAGTGACTCCAGTGACCTCAGGACTAGAAGGGGTCTTTGATGGAGCCAGGAGTCCCTCTTCTGTTCTGACTCAGACCCAGACTTCTCTGTGCCTGCCGCACTGCAGGTGGGCATTTTCCCTCTGTGAGGCAGGGTACCACGTGGCAGGTAGACCCATGTGGCTAGGTGCCAGGGGATGGTACCTTTCCATGGCAGGCTGCCATGAAGGAGCACCTCAGTGTGGCAGTACTGACCGACATCATTCCAATTTAAAGATCCCTAAAGGGCAGAGAGAAACTTTGCTTGGTCTAGTTTTTGTCACATGACCAATGCTGGACCAATCACTGTGGCCAGGGTTACAGGGTTCTTTACATTAGCAGGCCTGAGTCCTATGACTACCATGTGACCTGGGTCATGTGATGGGTGGAGGGAGGAAGGTGAGCATACTGGAACTGGCAGCTCCCTCCCATAGTGGGAGACCTTTTCTAGAGAAAAGAAAAGAAATCCTTGAGGATAAACAACAGATGTTCCCAGCAGGGAGGCTGGAATCGGATTGGTTTCAGAGATGACTGGGCAGGCGGGAGGCTGAGTCTGCTGCTCCCAGAGCCTGCGTGAAACTTCTCTCAACCTGGTTAAACACAGGCACGCCTGCCTCACCTCTCCATACGAGTAACTACCCAAGCCAAGTTTTAGAATGTAATTTGAAATTCAAAGTCTCAGGAAGACAAACCAGGTGAGCACTGCTCACTGCTCTGCTTCCAAACTCCACACCCTTTCCCTGGGGAGCCAGCAGTCCACACGCTCCCGCTGAAAGAGGGAAGACCTGGACCGTGTGAGAAGGGAACGAGCCCAGGCTTACACCAGGGCTTCTCTCACTGCAACTGGCTCAGGAATCCTCGGGAATCCTGTTAAAGCGCAGATTCTGACTCAGGCTGTCTGGGGCAGGCCTGAGATTCTGCTTTTCCAACCAGCTCCCAGGCAATGGCCTGCCCCCCCCCTCCCGTGAGCCCGAGGACTTAGTAGGGGTGTCGAACTCAATCAGAGAAGGGGCCAAAATCTAAAATCCAGCCTAAATCGCGGGCCGAATGGTTTACTGAACAGTCATAAACTGTCATTGTGATGGAAACGCAGCGGAGTGCAGTGATGACAACGCGGTGCGGGCCACATTGCAAGGCCTGGCGGGACGGATTTGGCCCGCGGGCCTTGTGTTTGACACATGTGACTTAGAGTGTAGAATTATGAGCCTGGATGAGAGTTGGATGAAGCTGCGAGCTGGCTCTCCTGGAAGCTGCCAAATTGCCAGCTCATGGTTTACCTGATGGGGGGAGATGGGAGTGCTGGAGCCAGGCAGATGGGTGGACTTTCTCTGAGCGTGTGTCAGTCTGAGCTTGCTGGCCACTCAGACCTTCTCCTGGACACATGGAGAGCTTCTGGAGAACTGGCTATTCTCACTCTTGGATTAGAGTCTCAGTGCCCCTCCCCCCACTCCAGCCACCTTGGGAGGGTCAGAGCAGCCTGAGCTGCCACATGTCAGCTCTTCCTGGCATCAAGGATGAGTGCCCCAATCCCACTGTGGGAGGGTTTTAATCCTTAGAACAGGTATAAATGTGACTGTATATGGCAAAGACTTTGGAGGTGCAATTAAATTAAGGATCTTGAGATGGGGAGATAATTCTGGTTTATCCAGGCGGGCCCTGTCATCATGTGTATTCTTATAAGAGGAAAGCAGAGAAACATATGCACCCCTATGTTCACAGCAACACAATTTACAATAGCTAAGATTTGGAAACAGTTTAAGTGCCCATCAGCAGATGAGTGGATTAATAAAACTCTGGTACATCTATACATGATATAAATATCTGTGTTTTCTGATGGTCTTAGGCAACCCTGCTAGCGGAAAACAATTTTATGGTTGGGGGTCACCACAACATGAGGAACTGTATTAAAGGGTTGCAGCATTAGAAAGGTTGAGAACCACTGTTTTACACAATAGTGAAAATCAAAGTTAGTGAGTTATTCTATTGGTGTGTGTGTGTATGCCCACATGTTATTG